TTCCCCAATTATGATTTGTAGTTTGAAATAGCCAGCATCCATCTCTCAATGGCTTGAATTGTCTATCGGCACCACCTATCATTACTATTGTAGGTGACAAAGAATCCCCAATAACAGTAGTGCTTGCATGGCGATATCTCTCTGCAGGCCAGAGTCTGATGCTGGAGAATACAAATGTACATATTATCTCAATACTACCACTGATAATACTTATATTATACCAAGTGATGTCAGGGGAGGAGTCACTAATGTAACAATTAAAAGTGAGCATTTTCTTATATTTTTCATAATTTTTTGATTTTTAGTTCCTAATGGTGTCAATCCATCAATAACTCAGTTTAGTTCATATTATAGTGTTGGTGATAGCATTGATCTTGTTTGTTCTGTCACTTATCCTTACTCTCCTCTTATTGGTATTGCTACTAATATGAACATGCAATGGCTCAATTCCTCTAATCACATTCTACACTCATATACTGGTATCAATAATAATACTGAACACACTATCAGTTACACTATCAATAATGTGTCATTATCTGATGCTGGAGAATATACTTGCCAGTATTATATATCAAGTATTAGTAATTCATTTGTTCTACCCAGTGATAACAGGACATCTTCAATTAATGTTTCCATTAAAAGTAAGTTATTTGTACTGTGATACTACAATCATTTTCATCCCCTCAGTTCCTAATGAGGAGACTCCAGTAATTCCTCATCAGTCTGTCCATGATGCTGGAAATGACATTACCCTCTCGTGTTCTGTTACTTATCCATACTCCTCCTACATTGATGTCAATACTAGTTTAACTTTACAATGGTTCAATTCATCTAATGACACTCTTAACTCCAGTACCATTATCAATGATAATAATGGACACACTCTTAACTACACTATTAGTAATGCAAGACTATCTGATGCTGGAAAATATACTTGTTCCTTTTCTGTTAATACCAGTGCCCCTTATATAGTTGCAAGCAATACTACTGGAAGTTTTATCCTCATTAATATAACAAGTAAGTTTAATTGATATAGTTTCTAAAATTTAAGTCTAATCTGCAGTACCAAATTACGTCACTTCAGATATACTTGTCCATCCTTCCAAATCCTACTATAATGTTAATGATAGCATTACTCTCTCTTGCATTATCCATTATACTACTAATCACCTTATTGATGTTAATACTACTGTCAACATACAATGGCTCAATGATAGTCTGAACTCATATAGATCTGGACTCAATGATCAAGACCAACACACTTTTAATTACACTATCAGCAGTTTGAAGCTATCTCAAGCTGGAAACTATACTTGCTCTTACTTTATTAGTGCACTAATGAACATTAATATTATACGCAGTGAAGCAAATGACAATTCCACAAGTATTAGAGCTAAAAGTAAGTATTAAAATGATAAATGATAGTCATCACTGACACTATTCCTTATTACTTTTTAGTTCCTAATGGTGAAAACCCCTTAGTTACTCAGTTAGAGTCCTATTATAGAGTTGGTGACAATATTACTCTAACTTGCTCTGCCACTTATTCTTCTTATATTGCTACTAATATGAACATGCAATGGCTCAATTCCTCTAATCACACTCTGCACTCATATACTGGTATCAATACCAATTCCAAACACACTATCAGTTACACTATCAATAATGTATCATTATCTGATGCTGGAGAATATACTTGCCAGTTTAATATAAGTTCTAATAATTCATTTATTCTACCCAGTGATTATGTGAATGATTCAATTAAAGTTTTTATCAAAAGTAAGTTATTTGTATTGTGTTGCTAGACCAATTATTTTCATTTCCTCAGTTCCTAATGACAAGATCCCAGTAATTAATCTCATTCCTCATCAGCCTGTGTATGATACTGGTAGTAACATTACCCTCTCATGTTCTGTCACTTATCCATACTCCTTCTACATTGACGTTGATACTAATTTAACTCTACAATGGTTCAATTCATCTAATGACAATCTTAACTCCAGTACCATTATCAATGATAATAATGAACACACTCTTACCTACACTATTAGTAATGCAAGACTATCTGATGCTGGACAATATACTTGTTTCTTTTTTGTTAATGCAACAGTGAACAATGATGTCATACACAGTGAAACAACTTCTAGTGTTACCAATATTACTATTATGCGTAAGTCATTACAGCTTTTATTTTACCTAAAATATTTCTATTAGTTCCTAGAGGTACAATTCCTTCTATAACTATTAGTCAAAATGATCCTCTATTTGGTGTTGGTAGCAATGCTATCTTGAGCTGTTCAGTTTACTATGCCTACTCCTCATTCATTGATGTTGATACAACAGTATACATTGAATGGAAGCATAATGGAGTGTCATTAGAATCAAAATCAACTGAAAATACATTCTCTAATGTCAGCTTTGACTATCGTTTGAGTGATGTCAATAATGAAGAGTATACTTGTGAATCATACCTCAGTGCTACTGATGGTAACCCATTTATTATAAACAGTAATAAAACTAACAGTACAACTATTGTTACAGGTTTGTCAATAATTAATTATTAATATATTTGATCAGCTTTATATTCTGTAGAAGCCTTAGCTGTACCAGTTGTGGTTGGTTTTATATTCTTTGGAATTATTCTTTTAGTAATAATTGGTGTGATTGCA